CCATTGCACAGAGTTCTTCAAGGCTTTAACAAGCCTCTTTTGTAAATCCAATAGGAAAAAAGTATCCAGGTCACTCTCTTGGTTTGTCATTTGCATTTCCCTTTTATATTTTAAAACCTCAGTCAGTTTCTTTTATAGGTCCAATGAAACATCCTTTTCTAAGTAATTCTCTTGGCCCATCAGTTGTAAATCCACTTTTGATACCATTTTTATCTTATCAGATTAAATTTGTTCTACATCTGTCATTTCTTCAATAACATCTTTTGGACATAGTCTATCCATAGAAGCAGACGTCATTACTGACATTGTTGATATTGTGGCCACTAATTTCTGACTCCATTCTTCAAAAGTCTCCTTCATTATTTTCATTGTTATAATGTTTTGCAACATTTTACAGGCTTGTGAATCTTTCTTCTACCTAAAAACTTCAGTCCCCTTTAGTATCCAGTTTTTGAAATCATGAAATTGCTTATCCTTGTTGTGTCTTGTAAAAAACAAAACAGAATCTATTTCCCACAAGAAGCTGTTTGTTCTTTATAATTAATTCCAAAATGTTATTGTAAAAGTTTCAATTTTACCTGGACCTTAGTCCGTTTATAACTTTCTAAGATCAAAAACTTATTTAGCTTTTTGCTGTTTATTTCAGATTCTTTAAATTTTTAAGTTTATGTTTAAAATTTTCATTCATTCGGGATTGAAGGAAGACTCATCCAGCATTTTCAGACTTGTTAATCTGAAGGTCTCTAATAGTTTATGAGCAATTTCCAAAAGTGGTTAGAAAGTGAGGTTTGCAAACTTAGTGTCCCTTAAAAGTCTCTGCTGTGGTTGTGAGCAAGATGGCTAATCCTGTCATCTCCTGGTGCTCAAACCTGTGGAAAACTTCGGTCCTGCAGTCTCCTCACCAGGGGCAGCCATCAGGAACACTTGTGGTTGATCTCCCATCCTCTCCTTATCTGGAGACGTTCCAAGGAACCAGTCTACTCACCAGTTCCTTAGTCTTTGCCATGGTTGTTGGTTCTACTTTCGCAGAGCCGTCTTCAGTTTGCCGTATCTCCCCGAGAAGTCCCAAGTTTGTGCCATTTTATACTGATTCTCTATTGTGTGTAGATACTTGTTATTTTTTTTTCTGTGTTTATAACTTTTGGGATGTGTTGTCTTCCTTCTAAGTAATTAGGGTTGATGACTTCAGATTAATCTTTCCCAATCTGGTGCACTCCGGAAGTGTTGGGACCATAGCTCCCAGATTTCAGCCATTTTTGTTGGGAATTTGGGGAGCTGAGATCCCAGCATATCTGGAGTGCATTAGATTAGAAAAACTTGCTTTATGTCTTTTAAATTGAAAAAAGATGTCGTTATTATCTCTACATTAAAACTATTATTTCTTTTTCTTTTTTTGTAGGCGGGCTTCCTTATTTACCAAAACCTAATTAATCTGAGTAGTGATAAGCAGATGCAGATTTGTTTAAAAACAGGTAAGCTAAAGCAGAGATCAGCAACTTTTTCATACAGCAGGCACCATTGCACAGTATTGTGGATGTATGCATGCATGCACACACACACACAAGCAGACCTTTATATGCACACACTATTGAAGCCATGTAATGTAGGGATTATGATGCTGGACTAGGAGTGGGGAAATTCAAATTCTAGGTCTCTCTTAGGCATGGAAGTTGGCTAGGTGATATTGGGCCAGTTATTCTCTCTCAGCCCTAAATGTGGTAGATTACAGTCCATAACCTTCATGAAGAGTTCTTCATCCTACTGTGAATTGATTCAGATGATGAATATAAACTTTTTGAAAATTAAAATATGCCAAACACCTTACAAGCATATGAGAATGCAAAAATGTTTCAGGACATGGTTCTCTCATGAGTTTGGGGCCATATACTTTTTTTAAATTTGGAATTCAGTGAGTACCATGGTGTTTTGCATCTTGTCTTATATGATCTCTGTTAACTACATTTTCTGAATAATGCAATAATCTATCATAGAGGTTATTATCACTATTTTTTTTTTTTTGTCTGCGCTCAGTCATTGCTGAC